AATATTGTACATTTTCTATATCATTTTCAAAGAATCACTGGGTGAAAAATTCCAATATTGTTTTTGATTGGGACCGGAATTATATTTTTAATTCCCACAAATTCTGAAATAATTTTCCAATATTTCTGAATTATTCCCAAAATCTCTAATTATAATCTTAGCATTATTATGTAATCCTATTGTTTCGTAAATTTTCTATATAATTTACAAAGAAGCACGGGTGAAATATTTAGATCCTGAGAGTTTCGAAATTTAGAATCAAAATGAAAGTATGAAAAAAAAAAGGTACACTTCCAAAACAAAAAAGAAAATTTTGTCATTTTTTTTTTCAAATTGGACATATAACTTATGGCTCAGAAAAGCCATAAAATTAAATCCAATTTGGTACGACTTAGTCTGTTTATGCCGAAATAGACATATCTTTATCTATGTGAGCAATACAATTAATAAAGTATATCCTTAACATAAAGTAATATAAAAACATTATCTCCCACACAACAAAAGTGTGCATTTTAATCCTTACAACAAAATATTTATTTTGATCATATTTAACCAATAATTAATAAAAAAAAAATAAAAAGCTAAAAGTTAGTTACAAATTTTTGTAGGTATACATTTAGAAAAATCCGCGACGTGAAATCGACGGTAGGGTACACGGTGATTCCGTACACCGTTGCCCTATTTGCATCGGCCATCTGGCTCTATTACGGTGCGATTAGGTTAAACGCAATCACGTTAGTTATCATTAACAACATTGGCTGCATTATCGAGATGGCGTACGTCGTCATATTTTTCTACTACTCGGGGGACTATGATCGAGTAGATTTCCAAATTCTTCTTAATACTTACAAAAATATTAAAAGTAATACTTATTTAAGACATCACTAATAGTTAAAAAAATGATTTTGTAGATTGTTACTTTCAGTCTCTGGTATTCTCTTTGGATTATTTTGCACTATCACCTTTTACGTGAAAGGTGACTTGAGGATTATGGTCATTGGGTGGATATGCTTTGGATCATCCATCTTAGTCTATTCATCGACTATAGGCACCGTGTTAAGATTAATATTAAATAGAGTTAGTAACTCTAAATTTAATTTAATTTAATTTATATAATTTTTTTATACCATTTTTTTTTATATTATAGGTTAGAGCTGTTAGGACACACAGTGTGTACGGTATACCTATCACACTGACGTGCGTCCTAACAGGTAATGCTGTCATTTGGGGCATCTATGGTTTTGCCAAAGGAGATGCCAATACCTGGGTATGTAAATCCTAATCAACATTACATCTAATTAAAAACTAAATAATTAGTAATTATTTTCTAATAAAACTTTTTTTTTAATTAATACGGATTCCGAACATTATCGGATTAGTTTTAGGTATAGGCTAGATTGTAGTGTACGTGATCTTCCGTACACACCAGACTAGCGAGACTACTGGAGAGTCTGAGACTGTGGAGACTATTTGACAGGTTAGAATATTTTTATTTATTATTGTAGTATGGATACATGACGTGGATTGCATTCGCTAACACTTGTTAGTAGGAAAAGAAAGAAGAAGAATAGAGGGATATAAGTCACAGTATAAGTCTAATATGTGTGGATGGGGACATATTCTTGTTGGGGATCGTGCATGTATACGCAGCGGAATTTAAAAATTTTAGATCGAACTAGTTTCGATTACATGCAAAAACTAATCACATAGTCAACGTACCTTAACGCTTCCGCCATACATATGGTAATTATCGATTTAATTGAAAAACACGTAAAACCGAAAATTACGAAACATGCTTGTTCATCATTCAATAAAATCGAAACACGTAATCACATATTACTCATAATCATAAATTATAATTCATACAAACATGCTCGAATTAATTAACGAAAGTTTCGATTTATTTACCTCTTGTAGCGTGAGATTTCGACGAATCGAAACCTAGAACCAATCACGTACAAGCTGCAAATTACCAATCCTCGGGGCTGCAACTCACGGCTGGAACAAGCTGATCCAGCAAGCGACGAACGGCGGCGCGTGGCAGCAGCAGCGGCGGCGTAACGGCCCTTGCGGCGGTGCAGCGGCGGTGCGTGGATTCGTCGGGGCAGCAGCTCCTCTCCAATTAGGTTTCACCTCGTATTTTTGACCCACTCGAACTACAGCACTAGATGTAAACGAGTTAGATAAACAACAAGAATAAAACGAAGGAGACGAGAGGAGAAAACCGGCGGTTTTCCGGCGGTGATCGGCGGTGGCGCGGCGGGGAAGCAACGGCCGAAGGGGATGAGCGGCTAGGGTTTGGGCGGCTAGGGTTTGGTGCAAAAATATGATCTCAAACTCTTGTTTGAGGTCTATTTATACTTAGGGTTTTCAACCCTAGTGGGTTTAAGTCATTGGGCTTGACCTTCTGATGCATTAAGCCCATTTCCTCGTCGGCCTCGTTTCTAATAAACGATCGTTCACAAAATTATAACAAAATTATATTTGTGACGAGCTCAAAGTCCTCGTCGATACGAGTGCCTCTTTGAAATTTCCAATTTCCAAAATTGGAAACTTCCACTTTAGTGGACCTAATAAATCGGGAAACTTCCCAATTTTGAAAGTTCACTAAATTCCGCATGTCTCTCTTTCTCCACGTTTATTCCGATTCGCAATTCACAATTACGAATCTTGGATTCAATCATATCGACATCCAATTGTTCAAAGATTAACACATTAATCTATGCTTGTTGTTATCAAGGATCAATATTACACGAGAAGTGTGACCCTCAATGGTTCAGGTGTATGCTAGCCGTGGGCTCACAACTCTTTGTGATTCGAACAACACATTGTTCTTATACGAACTCCTCCCAAGAGTCCCGATTAGAGTAAAACTCATTTTACCTAATCCCCGATCAAATCGGTGCCCAACGAATCAAGATTGGCGTCTAGCAACTACGCATCATGATTCTCTCGATACAAATGAAGTGCCTGCAAGAACCTTATGATATAGTTAGCGTACAGTACGATCCCTTCGCAGCACATGTCCCGATTGAACTAGAGGCATTGGTTCACCGAGATCTCTTATAAAGTTCAATAACTGTGCGAACGTTCTAGGTATTATAAATCCGTTCGTGTGCGACTTAGGGAAACACATTTCCCTAATCACCCCACTATCAACTCTGGCCAGAGATTCCTTGGATTATAAACCGTCAGAACACAAAGGACATCCATGACTACTCAAGCGCTCGAATCGCCTACTACAATGCACAGACTTCACACTAGATTTTGGATTGCACGAACGTTGGCCCTTGGAGTGGTCCGCTGTGGGACTCAGGGACAGGTCACGATACAATCGGTCCTCTAGTGAAGTCACGGTGATGTCTGGGTCTTAAGGACTAATGGTGTACAACTATATCTTAGAAACCTATTACTCGATGAATGAGAACCACTTATAGATTTCTAGGGCGAGGGAGTTCAGTGAACTCATCCAGTATGAGCACCCACTCAAGTATGCCGATGTCACAATACCAAGGACGAATGAGACGCAGTACACATACACTAAGTGCTAGTCTCAAAAGGGAAAGGCCGGTATCCTCATTATTGGCGTAACCCATCGACTAGGAACAAGGTTTAACAGTTACATTACATTGCTGAGTTATCTCACGATTCTACTAGATCAACTCACAGTAATAGAGTAACTCGTTAGGACTATATCTAGGCTGCTTGCATGGGATAACAGATATAGAATGCCAAATGAAATATTTTATTATTACGAACGAAAAACGATTGTTTTATTACAAGGTAAAAGAGGAAGACCACAGCCACAAGTTGGCTTGTTGGTCACCTACTCTAACAATACTAACTAAGGGGGTTTTCTCTAATTATTTTTGGGAGGGGGGTTTTCCTTAACAACATTTCGTAGATGAGGGGGGTCTTGCTAATAATCCTTTATTATATTCGTTTAATATATTATGTATTATTTCTATTAACTACGATTGAGTTTCTAATTGTTAGTAATTAACATTTGAGTTCGAAAAGAATAAATAAATTAATCTTCATCTTATTTTCGTTACCATAGATGTCAATTTAATGGGTTCAATTTATTTATTGAAACGTAACAATATTATTTGCTAGATAAGAAAATGAAAGCATACATAGACCATAACACATATCAAATGTTGACACTCAAACAAAGGTGTTATTTGGGTGTATTTTGAGATTGAGCAATATAATATAATTTGGTCAATGCAGCAGCTAAGAGATTGATTGATTAGCCTTCAAATTTCTCCAAACTCAATTGGACGTTGAGATTAGAAAATAAATAAAATAAAATTCATTCTTCTGCTCAGTCATATATATATATATGACTGAGCACTAATGGCGGTGAATGGCAACAGTAGCGGCGCGGCGTGGCAGCAGCAGCGGCGGCGCGTGAGCGGCGTAGCGGAGCGTGCGGCGGTGCGTGGATTCGTCGGGGCAGCAGCTCCTCTCCAATTAGGTTTCACCTCGTATTTTCGACCCACTCGAACTACAGCACTAGATGTAAACGAGTTAGATAACAACAAGGATAAAACGAAGGAAACGAGAGGAGAAAACCGGCGGTTTTCCGGCGGTGGTCGGCGGTGGCGCGGCGGGGCAGCAACGGCCGAAGGGGAGAGCGGCTAGGGCTTGAGCGGCTAGGGTTTGGTGCTGAAAAAAACTGATCTCAAACTTTTGTTTGAGGTCTATTTATACTTAGGGTTTTCAACCCTAGTGGGCTTATTGGGCTCGACCCACTGATGCATTAAGCCCATTCCCTCGTCGGCCTCGTTTCTAACAAACGATTGTTCACAAAATTATAACAAAATTATATTTGTGACGAGCTTAAAGTCCTCATCGATACGAGTGCCTCTTCGAAATTTCCAATTTCCAAAATTGGAAACTTCCACTTTAGTGGACCTGCTAAATCAGGAAACTTCCCAATTTAGAAAGTTCACTAAATTCCGCATGTCTCTCTTTCTCTACGTTTATTCCGATTCGCAATCAACAATTACGAATCTTGGATTCAATCATATTGACATCCAATCGTTCAAAGATTAACATATTAATCTATGCTTGTTGTTATCAAGGATCTATATTACACGAGAAGTGTGACCCTCAATGGTTCAGGTGTATGCTAGCCGTGGGCTCACAACTCTTTATGATTCGAACAACACATTGTTCTTATACGAACTCCTCCCAAGAGTCCCAATTAGAGTAAAACTCATTTTACCTAACCCCCGATCAAATCGGTACCCAACGAATCAAGATTGGCGTCTAGCAACTACGCATCATGATTCCCTAGATACAAATGAAGTGCCTGCAAGAACCTTATGATATAGTTAGCGTATAGTACGATCCTTTCGCAGCACAAGTCCCGATTGAACTAGAGGCATTGGTTCACCGAGACCTCTTATAAAGTTCAATAACCGTGCGAACGTTCTAGGCATTATAAATCTGTTCGTGTGTGACTTAGGGAAACACATTTCCCTAATCACCCCACTATCAACTCTGGCCAGAGATTCCATGGATTATGAACCGTCAGAACACACAGGACATCCATGACTACTCAAGCGCTCGAATCTCCTACTACAATACACAGACTTCACACTAGATATCGGATTGCACGAACGTTGGCCCTTGGAGTGGTCCGCGGTGGGACTCAGGGACAGGTCACGATACAATCGGTCCTCTAGTGAAGTCACGGTGATGTCTGGGTCTTAAGGACTAATGGTTTACAACTATATCTTAGAAACCTATTACTCGATGAATGAGAACCACTTATAGATTTCTACGGCGAGGTAGTTCATTGAACTCATCTAATATGAGCACCCACTCAAGTATGCCGATGTCACAACACCGAGGACTGATGAGACGCAGTACACATACACTAAGTGCTAGTCTTAAAAGGGAAAGGCCGATATCCTCATTATTGGCGTAACCCATCGACTAGGAACAAGGTTTAACAGTTACGTTACATTGCTGAGTTATCTCACGATTCTACTAGATCAACTCACAGTAATAGACTATATCTATGCTACTTGCATGGGATAACAGATATAGAATACCAAATAATATATTTTTATTATTACGAACGAAAAACGATTGTTTTATTACAAGGAAAAAGAGAAGGACCACAACCACAAGTTGGCTTGTTGGTCACCTACTCTAACAATACTAACTAAGGGGGTTTTCTCTAATTATTTTTGGGAGGGGGGTTTTCCTTAACTACATTTCCTTGATGAGGGGGGTCTTGCTAATAATCCC